GTGGGGCGCGGCAGGTGCGCGGGCACCGTCTCATCCTCTGTAAGGGCCCGGCTGGCATGATGCACCCTCACTGCCCTTGGGCCCCCCCGGAGCCATGCAGAGGATGCTGGCATCCTGGGCTTGTCACGTGGAGTAACGATCCCTGAGGGCAAAGCCCCGGACCCCAGGCAGAGTCTCCAGGAAGGTTCTCCTGGGGGCAGTGATCTCAGGAGGGGTAAGTTCACAGGGGCCAGGAGGAGGTTGCAGCTGCTGTGAGGAGATGCACCCTCACTGCCCTTGGGCCCCCCCGGAGCCATGCAGAGGATGCTGGCATCCTGGGCTTGTCACGTGGAGTAACGATCCCTGAGGGCAAAGCCCCGGACCCCAGGCAGAGTCTCCAGGAAGGTTCTCCTGGGGGCAGTGATCTCAGGAGGGGTAAGTTCACAGGGGCCAGGAGGAGGTTGCAGCTGCTGTGAGGAGAGAGGGTTTAATGGGCCCCTTGCTGGCCTCTTGGCAGAGAGGCTGAGGACGAGCTGGGCCGTGGAGTCAGACTCCCTGGCAGGGCAGGGCAGTGTGATGGGGCAGCCTGCTCTGTGAAGAAACAGAGGGTCTGTCAGTCCAGCTCCTCCCACCAGCACTGCGTGAGTGCAGGGCAGAGCATGAGCCGGGGAGCCCGCTGGCTTTACCCTGCTCCCCCGACCCCACAGGCCGCACCGTCGGGTTCAAAGAGGATCACTACATGCTGCGGCAGAGCCTCATGGCTTTGGACCACCTGGACACCCCCATGGTGCGCAGCGGCTCTCTGAAGGGCAGAGACACCGTCCGCTGGAAGATCAACAACAACGTCCACAAGCCGGGCTTCTCCGCCCACGCCGCCACGAACCCCAAGGAGCTGAGTGAGCGCTAACGCAGGGGGTGCTAGTGGGGAGGGCCGGGTGTGGCCTCCTGCAGACGCCAGAGGGGAAGAGGGTTTGGTTCCCCTGGGGTCTCTTCCTGGCCCTTCGCTATCCCCAGCTCTTTTCCCAGGAGAACAGCCCCCGCAAGGAGACACCCCTTCCCTTTCTCTTCCCCCACTCCCAAGGGATCGACCCCTGCCCCCCACAGTGTATCCTGGCTCTGTTGCAGTGACTGCAAGGTTCCCCCCGGCCAGCTGCCATGAGCATCCCTGCTGTTAGTGCAGGCAGCTGCTGAGACAGCTTCTCACCAGCTCCCTGCCTTGCTCGGGCTCTGGCTGTCTTGCCCAGAGCTTACTGCATGCAGTGGCTGGTCTGAGCCCAGGAACATGGATGCCGCTGGCTGGGGGTCTGGGCCACCAAGGCCCCAGTTTTTCCTGGCTCCCAGCTGTTCACAGGGTGGTTTCTCGGGTGGCCAGTGAAGGGGTCTAACTGGGGATTCCTCTCTCCAGTTCCTTATGGCGTCTCGCTGAGACTGGCCCGGCTTTTCACTCAGAACCTCATGAAGCCAGACAGCCGCGAATGTGAGCAGCTGCGCAAGGAGGTGGAGGAGAACGTAAGGGGCCAAGCCACTACCTCTGGGGTTTGCCATTTGAGGCAGAAGGAGCAAGGCACTGCCACTGCTGAAGCTAGGGCTGGGAACGCAGGGAGCCAGCTGGGCTGGGAATAGATGGAAACAGAGGTGGATTCTGAAGGGTGTGTTTTACCCGAGGAGGTGCTCTGTGCACAGGGAAGGGCGTGTTACCTCCCTGCCAAGGGGGGTACAGAGAAGGGAGAGGCCTTGGGTTCTCTGGCTGGGATGGTACAGAAGGTGGGCAGGAAGGCGGGGTTGTAGCAAGGGAGGTAACTAAGTGGAGTCTGCTCAGTTTGCTGGCAGCATGGTGCCTACTGTGCTAAGAGTCCCATGGGGCTGTCACATGTTCCCTTGCTCCTTACAGCTGAACGATGTCTACAAGCACATTCCTGGTGCCCACAGTCTCCAGCAGACCAAGTTCAGGTGAGTGACCCAGGGACAGGGCGGATGGAGGGGGGCTGGGAATAAGGAAGGGCTGGGGGCAATCAGGCTCCAAACTCCCAGCTCTGGCACCGTGGTCAGATCTCTGACCTCGAGGGGCACCTAAGCTGCATGGGCTGTTTCTGGAGTAATCCTTCCCAGTGGACTGGGTGCAGAGAGCCCCCTAGGACTATGATGTGAGTGCCATGGGCCCCGCAAAGGCATCACTATGGGGTCTGTGGACTACCTCAGGCTCCGTACATGGGACTAAAATGCTCTGGGTCTAATCACATCTCACTGAAGGCAGTGAGAACATTCCCATAGCTGGCAATGAGTACCAGGGTTTGGCCCCTCTGAGCTGGAGAATTGTTCCCCCGGGTTAACGCTCTCTACACCGTATCCCTGGACACGTCTGCTACGGTAGGTGGAAAAGCTGGGTCATAGGGAGCAGCAGGATAGGTAGGGAACAGCCCTGGTGGAGGGCAAAGAAGGGAGATGCCTTGTGTGGAACTTGCTTGCCTGACCACAGTACACAGAGCTCTTCAGCACTTGCACTCGCGTGCCACACGTTGCACCCGAGTGAGGACCGAAATTGGAGGGAAAAACCAGAAGTGGGACTCAAATTCCTACCCTCAGCATTGCCCAGAGGGTGCTTTGCTGCTGGAGTCAGCAGAGCAGCTCTCATAGCTCTATGCCCGCTATAGACAGACCCTAGCTACTTAAAGACCTTCGTGGCTCCCCGGTGTGATTTGGAGGGGCTATTCACACCTGCTGGTCTGTTTTTTCCTAGGCTGCAGCCCAACGCTGGAAAAAGGTAGGTGGAGTGTTTGTGTCTGTGTGTGTCTGTCTCCTGCTTTGTCTTGGTGCTCCTCATCTGTGCAAGTGTCTATGTAGGCGTATATTACCTGATTGAAAGCTTTGGTGGCTGACTAGCGCCCTATTTGCTGGTTGGCTGATTGACAGAGTAGGGACAGGATGTGACCTCCTGTCTCTCCCTCCCCCTGATCGGGCTGCAGGCAGGACCACACGATTGTGGACACGGTGCTCACCGCTCCCCTTTCGGCCAAGCTGGACATTGTGAAAGCGACAGAGAAACACGTCTCTCAGGAGGCTTTCAATGAGCTGAAGGTGACACCGGGTTACTATACCGTGACTTCTGACCAAGGTAGGAGACAAGCTCTGGGCCTATTGACCAAGGCAAACTAGGGGCTTGTGAGGAAGGACCCTCCCAACTCTGCCCTTTCACCCTCTCTGCCGGCACAGATGCCCGTGGGATGGTGGAGTTCCAGGAAGGAGTGGAATTCGTGGACGTCCGGGTCCCACTCTTCATCAGGGATGAAGACGATGATGAAAAGCAACTGCAAGTGGAGGCCATTGATGTCCCCATGGGAACTGCGAAGATTGGACGCAGGCTCGTCAATATCACCATCATCAAAGAGCAAGGTGAAGGCCCTGTAGCTGTGACAAGGGCAGAAGGGGGTGTGGTAGGAAATTCTGAAACCTTGTTTAATAGCTTCGGTGGCCAGAAAGGGCCGTTTTGGTCTAGTCCAGGGGTGGGCAAGATCTGGCCTGATAAGTCTTTTAATTCGGCCCGTGGCCCACCCCGCCAGGACTCTCAGGCAGGGAGCAGCTCCATGCCACTCAAAGTGACTGGACTCTCTGTGCCGCTCCCTGGGGGGGAGGGCTTTGATTGCTGCCCCCTCCCACCATCCCATTCTGGCCAATGGGAGCTGAGAGATTGTGCTGGGGTAGCATGCTAACCCTTCCCCCAGCGCATGGCACAGAGAAGCACACGCTGCAGCCAACTGCTTTGAGTGGTGCCGGGCTGTGGCAGGCAGGGAGCCTGCCTGTAGGTAAGAGCCTCCTGGCTGCAGCCTGCCTTGGGCACCGCAACACCTCCTGCACCCCAACTCCCTGCCCCAGCACACCATCCTCTCCTGCGCCAGGTCAAATCCTCTGCAGCCTCCCCTCCTCCAGGTCATAACTCCTTCCCAGACCCTGCACCCTCTCCTACACTCCTCCAGACCATAATCCCCTCCTGTACTCCTACCCGCTCCTGCATGCCAATCTCCTGTCACAGGTCACCATCCAAACCCTCTGCAATCCACTTACCCCCCCATCCCAAGTCACAACTCCTTCCCTTACCCCGCACCCTCCCCTACACTCCTCCCCCACAATCCTCTCCTGCACCCATTCCCCTCCCTGACCCTGTACCCCAATCCCCTGCCCCTCCTTCATTCAAACTCCTCTCAGACCCCACACCGTCTTCTGTACCCCAATCTCCTATCAGAGCTCCCTTCTGCATCCAACCTCCATCCCAGTCCCTGCACCCACCGTAGAAAATGACAGCCCTTGACTCCCTCCTCAAAAATTATTGCCCAGCCGGCCTCATCTGACCTCCTGCCAAGCACAGGTCGGAGTCCCTCACCCAGGGATTCCTGCATCCAGCCCAGTGATTTGTGTCTGAACTAGACCATCTTGATTTGAAGGCAAGAAGGAAAGGAGAGTCTCCCGCAGCTGGTCTCTTCCTTCCTGGGCTGTCCTGGCTAGCAGCCCCATCCCCACCCGATGGCTTGAGCTTTCAGCAGAAGCCGTGAGTCATGAGGCTAGGAGAGAGTTTTTAGCTGGACGTGAAGGGATAACTCCAGCTATTTATTTGCTCTGTCATTTTTTGGAGTTCTTTCTCCCTGATCTTCCCCTTTGACATCCTTTGTTCTTTCTTAACTTTTACATAATCTCTGAGTCACTCCCAGCTCTGTCTTTCCTCCTGGTCTTTCTTCTTAGAACCTGCACTGTTAGGCTACCAAATCCTCAGGCTGCAGTTTCTTTGCTGACATGGCAAACCAGTCCATGCATCGCCTGATGGCCATAGCACCATCTGCTCCAGCTAGATGTGAGCCCAGCAAACTAACCCATTGTGGTCTAAAGAGTAGAGCAAGACATGGGGAGCCAGGACTCCTGAGCTCTGCTTCTGGCTGTCCTGTTGATTTTTTGCTCTGTGCCTTGGGCAAGTCACTTCACATCTCTGTGCCTGTACACTGAGGGTGAATGCTGGCCTCTCCGGGTTGTTGAGTCAATGAAGTGCTTTGATGGTATGATGGCTTTAAAGAGCCCAGCTCTATTCTGTGTGTGAGTATGTGTGTTTGTAAGAAGCCTCCATCAAATAATTGTTTGTCTCACGTGCTCCACCTTTCTGACTCCTTTCAGCCAGCAGCATCATCACCTTCCTGCAGCCCGCCTATTCTCAGAGCCGCTTTGACCAGGTGGCCAGAATCCCGGTGTTTCGGGAGATCTTGGAAAGCGCCAAGTCCCAGGTCACTTACAGAACTCGGGATCTCACTGCCAAGGAGGGCAAGGTAAGGGCTGTGCTCCCTGGGGCTGGTGGAGGTGGGCACAGTGGCATGGAGCCCAACAAGCAGGGACCGGTGATTACACAGTCAGAATGAACGCTCACTACTCTAGAGTGAGGGAAAGATGTGATCTAGAGGTCTGAGCACAGAATGGGAGCCAGGAACTCATACGTTCTCTTCCCAGGTCCGTCCCATCAGGTTTGCTTCTTGGAGGCCTGGGCTGTGGCTAGCAAAAAGGTTGGTCTTTTAGGCATCTTGACCAGCCTTCCAATATGCTTGTGACAATGGACTGTATGGAAATGCCATAAT